ATTTAGGTAGAAAAATATTTGAACTGAGAGTTGGATAAACAGTTTAAATGGATGAAAGATCAAGATATTTGAAGACTCTTCAAAGTTAGGGTAAATTTTAATGAGCTCAAAATGATCTCAAAAGTCAAAGGAATGATTTTTTGAGAAAGAATTTTGGATTAGTGTTAAGAAATGTCTAAGTATTCATTGTTTGGACATTGTTACTCCATTCGTTCATCCTAATGATATGCTTTGAATTTGTTTCTTTACCTATTTATTTTTGTACTAGACTCACTTCTCATTGATTACCTTTCTCTTAATTTACTTTTTGCTATCTTATTTTTACATCCCTAGAGTAAGTCGAGAAAATGTATGATTGCATTATATTTATTATGATTTGAAATGATAATGAATGTATGATAATGTTCATAAAAGATTTCTATATTCATTTGAAAAGAAATCCAGGATGATAGTGGGTAAAAAAAATGAAAAGATGATAGAAACCTAAAAAGATGATTTGAAAAGACACATACTATGACCAAATGATGAATATGGTGATAGATTGATTGACATAACTTGTGAGTTATGATCAAATAATAAAAATAATATGGATTAGTTGACAAAATTTATTCTGAAATGGCTAGTTTTAAGAAGCCTATGAGTTATGATTAAGTGATGAAAATATGAGGATCAATTGACGAAACTTATTTTGGAACTGCTAGTGCTGAGAAGCCTGTGAATTGTGATCAAGTGATGAAAATAATGAGGATCATCTGATGAAACTTGTTCTAAAATGGTTAGTGTTGAGAAGCTAAAAAAAGAAAAAATGTGAAATGGTAAGGTCTTGAAAACCATGTTACCACATTTAATTAGAATTTCATGACATTAACATCCGCATTGTATACATTACGTTTACATTGTTGTTTGGAGAATATTTAAGACATTGGTTTGGATATACACTTACATCAAACGATGAACATTTGAATCATGATTTAGAATATGGCATCTGTAGTATTATGAGAATTTAGACTGTTGCATTTACATCATTAAAAAAGCATTTGCATCATTATCATGATATTTTTTACAAAGTTTTGACTTTGATGAAAGATTGAGAATTTTCATAATAAGAAAATTTGAATTTTTGGAAGAGAGCATAGCATGCATTGCATTTCTCAATGCTTATTGCATAGTATGCATTGCATGTGAGAATGTCCAATACCTGAAGCAAGGATATTTCAAGATTTCCCATGGAAAAGATAAATATGAAAATTTGTTAATGAAAGAATTTCAACTTCTCATTTAAAAAAAAGGTAAGATTTTGATCCTTAGAAACATATATTTCTCAATATTATGAACGATTTGTAAGACCTCCAAGTATAATGTCCTAAAATTTCTTCAGACATGATCTATGACTCTTCTGGACATAATTGTCGAAGAGCTTTATTTTTTAAAGTCGTTGAGCCTCTGTTTAGAGGAGCCTTATTTATTTTTCAAAAATCGTTGAGCCTCTACTTAGAAGACCCTTATTTATTTTTCAAAAGTTATTGATTCTTTACTTTGAAGAGTCTTATTTATTTTTTAAAAATTATTAAGCCTCTACTTAGAAGAGCCTTATTTATTTTTCTAAAGTAGTTAAGCTTTTTATTTAGAAGAGCCTTATTTATTTTTTTAAAGTCGTTGAACCTTTGCTTATATGAGCCTTATTTATTTCTCGAAAGTTATGAAACCTCTATTTAAGAGGAGTTTTTCTGTTATTTAAGAAGTTTGAGTATGCTTTAAAAAAAAGATGTGTGTTGATTCCTGTTTAGGTTGTCTACGTCTTTGCATAATTTTTATTTCACAGAAAATGTGCAAAGAGAAGACACTCTAATATGTCTAAGATTCTACTTGAGTCTAATTTTGTTAATAAAAAATAAATAAATGAAAAAGAAAAAAAATTGGCAGGTTGAGTTCGTGTGAAATTGTATGTGTGGACTGAAGAGTTTAAGTTGAATTAAAATTTGGAGCTAAAACTTAAAAGGGATTAAAACCCTTTCTGGTTTAGGGTTTTTTGAATTTAAACCCTATCAATATATGCCCACATAGAGGGCAAGATACACACAGAAAAGAGATTAGAGAAACAAAAACACACAAAAAGCAAAAAAAAATACATATAGAGATAGGCAAAAGAATATAACAGAAAGCAAAGAGATCAACAAAAATAAAAAAAAATAAAGATTTTTTTTAAAAAAAAAATCTAGAAAATTCTTCGATTTCGATAAAATTTTTTAGATTTCGATAAATTTTTTGGTAGGTTTCCAAAATTCGATTGAAAATTCAGGCAAAGGTTAAATTTTTCGGTGAACTTTTGACGACCAACCCATATTTTGACGAGTTTTTCAAGAATCAACAAAGATTCAACCAACATTCTTCGAGTTTTAAATTGAGCGAGGCAAATAGAAAAAAAAAAACGAAGGAAAGAAGAAGATCTGAGGGAAAAAAAAGGATTCTTGTTATTTATACTCTATCAAAACAACGTTGTTTTAGCGTTAAGCAACATCCTAGGAACCTTGTATTTCTATTTGGGTCAACCCAACCCAAGTGTTAACCCGTGTTCAACCTATGTCTCAAGTCGAGTTGAGTCGAGCCATCATCTCGAGTTGTTTCAGCTTTTCTTCCTGAAGTCAAGCCGTACCGTAACTGCCAAGTTGAGCCATTTATGTTTTTGGTATTTTATTTATTTATTTATTTTTTAAAAAGAATTTTTGCATGATTAAATTGAGAAAAAATAAAAAAATAAAATATTTTTTTAGAATAAATAATAATTATCCAATGATGAAATTTTTTTAAAAATTTCAAATAGTAAATTTTCATAAAATTCTTAGATGAGAAATTTTTTCTAAATTTGTCTCAAATAATAGAATAATTTAGATAAAGTTTCAATAATAATAATTAATATTTATTTTTAATTAAAAAAAAGAGAAAAAAGAAAATAATAATAATAAGAAAATTTTTAAAAAATTGATCGAAAATATTTGACAGTTATCCAAAGATGAGAATATTAGAAACTTCAAATGGTAAATTTTTAAAAAATCTCTAGGTGAGAAATTTCTTTAAGTTTGTTCCAAATTATGAAATAATTTAAATAAAATTTCAAGAAAAAATTGTCATATTATTTTTTTCAAAGATAATTTTTTTTTTTAAATAGACTAAAATGGTGAAAAATTTAGAAACCAAAAAGAAATTTCTAAATAAGCCTAAAAAGTGAAAAATTTAGAAATTCAAAAGAAATGATATTTTTTATTTGGCCCAAATTATGAAATAATTAGATATATTTTCAATAAAAATAAAAAATAAAGAATAAAAAATAATTAAACCTTTTTTTAATGACGAGTCTTTTTAAGAAAATAAATGAAATTCTTGAATACTCTTGAGAATAAAAAATTATTAAACCTTTTTTTAATGACGGAGTCTTTTTAAGAAAATAAATGAAATTCTTGAATACTCTTGAGGTGAAAACATAATTTTTAAGAAATCTATCAGATTGATGAAGAATCTTAAAAGTTATTTTCAATATTCAACATTAAAATTTAAAACTATTAGAATCAAGAGATTATGATAATTTAAAATAAAATGGTACAATCCTTTGGATGAGTACATAAAGATGCTATAACATTTTTTATATGTAATCAAATTCTCGAATCTTATTCTGATTAGTAAATCAAAACTTATTCTTTTAGGGATTCTTAGTTAAGTTTAAAAGCTCATTATAAGTATAGATTCATTAGATGATCAATCACGTCTAAATAAAAAAAATTGGTGATGATTCTATTTATTAAGTTTAATTATAGATTTATAGATCTAAATGTTATAACCTTTAAGGTAAGAAAAAAAAAGGGTTGATGGGTTAATTAAAGCATGAAATAAATTGGTTTGAGGATAATTGGGAGAGAATTTTCTGTATTTTTTCTTTGTTTTGGACACATGGCAATAAATTTTTCTTTATTTTTTATTTTGGTATTTTCATTTTATTTTATTTTGTTTTCCCGTTTTAGTTTTATTTGTTTTTTTTTTGTTTTATTTATTTTCTATTTACATACATATTTAAAATTTTATATTAAAAATATGTTTTAATCATTTGACATAATAAAAAACTAAAAATATGCGTTAGACACATAAATTTACAAATATTTTAATAATCATATTTATTTATTTCTATCATTTAAAATTTTTAAAAAAATTAAAAATAAATAAATAATTTTTCAATAGTCTTTTAAAACTATTGAAAATTTATTTTTGAGAAACACGATTTTAACAAAAAAAAATTTACACTTCATTCACACTTTATTCAACGTTTAAAGTATTTGAAAATATATTGTTAAGAAATTTTTAAAACTCTCAAAAATAAATTTTCGAGAGTTTTAAAATTTTTAAAAATTTATTTTTGTAAAGTATGTTTTCGATAAAAAATTTTTATAAAAATCTTAATTTTCATATAATTTTAACTAAATTAATGAAAAAAATCTTGAAAGGTTAACCTGTAATGAATAAAATATTAAAAAAAACTTAGGTGTTGGTTCGATAGTTTTAGAGTTAAATTTAGATGGAATTTGAATTTAAAATACAAGAATGAAAAATCAAATAAAAAGAATATGAAAAAAAAATGATATTGTACGGATGTGATATATTTTAGAAAAAATAAAAATTTATATTCTAAACTTAGAATATATTTAATAATAAAACCTAAGATTGTTTTAGCGGATGCAAATAGAGTTTTTTTTCATCGAAAATGTTCACAAGACGACCTTGCGTTGTAAAGAAGGAAAGAAACGAGAATATATATTCAATTCGTACAGATTTTTTAATCAGAGTCGAAAAAATGGGATAAGTTTTAGCAGAGACGTGAGAGAAGGACAACTGGTTTTTTGTCTCGCACAACTGCCTACTTCTCTCACGCGCCTTGGAGGCACCTGAAATACATTACCACTACATTTTTTAGTCTTGGAAGTGAGTGATTGGGGTTTGTTTGCCGGGAAGAAAAAATGTCCGAGATAAAGACTTTAGCGGTGGTGGGCAGTGGGCAAATGGGTTCAGGCATAGCTCAGCTTGGTGCCATGCATGGTCTCCATGTTTGGCTTCTTGATACTGACCCTGCTGCACTTTCTAGAGCCTCCAAAGCTATCTCTTCTTCCCTTCAACGTTTTGTTTCCAAAGGTCATCTGTCGCAGGTAAAATTGGTTTTTTTTTTTTTTTTTTAATCTAATTAGTTGATTGTTATAAGTTTGGTTTTGATGTGATTTTGTTTTAAGTTTGGTTTTGATGTGATTTGAAGTTTTGAATCGGGTGATTCTTTCAGTTTAGCACTTGATCTTCTGACAGTTTGCAGTTGTACCATGTTCGTACATGTTGATGAATTGAATAAATAGTTTTGTTAAAGGGATTCTTTTTGATGAAAAGATGTTCTTTTTTTAATGTCAATATGATTGAAACTTGGATTGGGTTTGGGTTAAACCAGGTGGGTTGATCTTGGATAGAGCTTAGATCAAAGTTGATAGCTTTAGTGCTGCTTTAGCCAGGATTCTGGCTTGAGTCTTTGTTCCCAAGATTCTACAGTTATCATGCTTAATTCAACATTAATTTTTTACAGTTGTTTGAGAGTGGAAAATTGAGAAAGTTGGTAGCTGAAGTAGTGGATGGAAGAATTGGGTGGTTGAACTTATTGATGAGATGATTATTTTGGTTTCGACTAGGGCCCTTTCTCAGTATTATTGGTGTCTGATTTCGGTTCTTGCAAAAAATTTCACTGTAAATTTCTGGAGGAAGAAGCGGTTGGTATGGTACTAAGGCTTAAGTGTTAATATGAGAACATGAAAGTTGAAAGGAGAGGAGAGATTAAGGAAAAAATGGAAAGAAAGAAAAATATGCTGTTTTTCAATTAGTGTTTTTGTGTGCCTGATCCGAGCAAGAGAAAGTTGAATCGTTTAGTTTAATTGTTTGGCGTAATGGACTAAATGAGTGGAAAAAGGAAAATGAAAGCTATTGTGTACACCTTTGCGCTCGTTCTTCCTGAAATTGGAAGCAAGTAGATAATGCTAGAAATGGAGTTGTTATCAGGAAAATTGAGCAATCACATAGTTAAAATTTTAGTTTAGTCATACAATTGACCTTGGAATGGTGAAACAGGGCAGTCTTGCCTGTGAATCTACTTTTCCGCCGCAATGAATCCTGTTACCTACGTGCATAAAATATTTTTGAAACGTATTTTTCATAAAGCATTAATGGTAAACTGCCTCAACAAGATGTTAGTTTCCCAAAATATTGGATTCGACTGAATTATGGTTGAGGTTACAATATGAAACATGTTTGAAACTTGTTAATAACTCTTTAATCAGAAAGAGTTACTGTTAACCTACCTCAAAGAAAAAAGGTTATTGGTTTGCCATATTTTATGTTAACTGGTATTGGATAGATTAGGCCTAACTCCTTTTATTCATGGTTCTTATACCTTGCCTGATAAAACTGACAATCGAAAATTGTAGCAAAACCCAACAAAGTGAAGAAGGGGAAAAAGGCATAATAGAAATTTTCTTGTCAGGTGGTATCAGTTTTCAGTATTTCATTTTTTCACTTGACAGGCTGCTAGTACTGATGCTATGAGACGTCTGCAATGTACTTCAAATTTGGAAGAATTGCGGTCAGCAGATTTTATTGTTGAAGCAATTATAGAATCAGAAGATGTGAAGAAAAAGTTGTTTCTTGAACTGGATAAGATTGCAAAGAGTTCAGCCATTTTAGCATCTAATACAAGTTCCATCTCCATTACTCGGTTGGCATCTTCAACCAGCAGACCACGCCAGGTTATGTTTAGTGCATCTTTCTAGTTTTGATCTGGAATCGTGGTTGGAGTATTTGATACATTGACAATCACATGCAAAATCACATCACACCTGCTTTCTGACCATGCATCACTTGTCTCTACCCAATTTCAAGGCCTCAGGACTTTAATTAGGTTCAACCAACCCGATTTTTGCAGGTCATTGGAATGCATTTTATGAATCCTCCTCCCATAATGAAGTTGGTTGAGATTGTGCGAGGTGCAGACACATCAGATGAGACATTTGATGCAACGAAAGCCTTGGCTGAGAGGTAATGGGTGATTATAGAATGCTTGTGGAAAACATAGTTAACTTCTTTTTCCCTAGTGATTTTCTCTCATCATTCGAGTATGTTAGCTATATCCAGCTGATCAAATTGAGATCAAAACCATTCTTGGCTTGCACAGTGAGAAAGCTAAAACATTCTCCAAATCTCTGAATGTATCATGCCTTCATTTATTTTCTCAATATTACCCCCTACTATGTTCCAAATTGCAAATTTCACTTGGATCTCATAACCAGTATTTTACTGTTATATTAACTTGACCACAAATTTGCAGGTTTGGAAAGACGGTAATATGCTCTCAGGACTATTCTGGCTTTATTGTGAACCGGATCCTTATGCCAATGATAAATGAAGCATTTTTCACACTGTACACTGGGGTGGCAACCAAGGAAGATATTGATACAGGAATGAAGTTGGGAACTAACCATCCAATGGGTCCCTTGGAGCTTGCTGATTTCATAGGCTTGGATGTGTGTTTATCAATAATGAAAGTTCTACATACTGGTTTAGGTGACGGTAAATATGCCCCTTGTCCTCTTCTTGTGCAGTATGTTGATGCAGGTCGCGTTGGGAGAAAATGCGGTATTGGGGTGTATGACTACCGTAAGCTGCCTGAACCTATAAAACCATCTCCTCGACTCTGACGATTTATACTTTCAATAGAAATTCCATGATGAAAATGTTAAATTCCCTTGTGAGCTGCATTTTCCATTTCTTTTTCATATCTTTAAAGGAGTTTGTATCTCATGCAACTAGTTCATTGAAATAATGGTAGCAGTGGGGATTACAGTGACATCATTTCAGTGGTTGCTTCTCTGTTTGGGCAAGCATTAACTGAAAATTGCCTTCTTGAGTTTATTCTCCATGAGCTTGCTGCTTTCTGTGAACTGAAAATAAACTGCCTCGTACAATTACCTCCCGTAATACTTGATTACCTTCAAAAGTAGTGCTGTTCTTTCTTCAAGTTGGTTGCATATGCAGCCATTTAAAGTTGCTGAATATAATGACAAATTGCCAACCTTTATTCTAAAAAGGTGTCCAGCCGCCATAGGCAAATAGAGTCAATGGTAATAAAAAAATGCAAATTGGATTTCGGTTCTTGACAAACACCATTTCAAGGATGGATTAATGATTCGATTTGGTGGGTGGTGCGTGTCGTTTTGCCATTGGAAGCTATAATCCTCTCCAAAAAGAAAATTAACTTAAGTCCTAGCCTTGGGTTGTACACATCTTTTTTTTTTTTTGGAACTCAATCATGGTCTTCTATTTATGCCAGATATCAAGTTCTGCGTTCATAATCTTCCATTAAACTTCATACTCATGGTGATAATGCAAATTGCATGTCTCCTGTTGCTTGCCAGATTTGGAATCTGTAGTGTAAGGCAAGGAAATAAAAAGTAGACCCTCAGATCATGGCCAAGGTGATGAACTTCATTCTTGATCATGATAGGCCCCACACACCTGGGCCACCATGTTTCCCTAACCCTAAAGTAGTCATTTTTTGACAGCATCTTCTGTATTGAAAGTGATTGAAGTCGACATCCAATGGGGGCAATTGCACATTCTTGGAAAATATAAACACCACTTTTTTTAATCTTGAGACCATTAGTATTTAAATTTTGCTAATTAGAACTGAGAATTTCGTATTTTACCGATAAATCACATGACTGTCGGCAAATATAAGCAGCATTATTAGAAGGGAAACAAGATAGAAAAGCTTAGCATTTTTTTTCTACACATAAGGCTTCTTGGGCATATTTTTGAAACCAAAGGAAAGCAAAAAAAGCCATGAAGTTCTTGTTCCAGTGCCCTTGCTGTTCTTGTTTCTGCTTCATGAAACCAAAGCAAGGGAAACCAAAGGTGAAGGATGCCAAGGTAGAGAAAGAGAAGGAAGTCAAGGAGGATAAGGCAAAGTGAAAATGCAACCCCTCATTTGGCTGAAAATGATAACTCCATTTTCTTTTTTTCTGTTCTTCCCTACTGCTAAAGGAATTGTATGTAACTTTCTTAAGTCATCTGAGTTTACATGAAAATGCTGCCTTCTCATCCTTATAGTATTATTGCCTTGTGCTGATAATAAAAATGTCATTTTAATCATGTTTGCCTTTGTTATTTGATTCGATTTATGTCCTGCAAATGTTGGTTGATTTGGTCAAATCATATTTATGATCCTGCTTCGTTTTAATTCTATCAAATGTTCTTAAAACAACAGCAGATCTGATTGTATAGCTACATTTCCTGAGAAATTAATGATAAAATTCATTGGGGGGGGCGCTACATCCCTCTCCAAGATGCAGTTTTCATGTGCTGCCTTTCACATTTTAACATCAAAATCTGACATTTTGATTGGTATTTCCCGAAATGTAGGATCGAATTCATTTGCCAGAAAATTTCTGGCCTGCGTTCAAGAATTGAAACATTCATCAGTTATGAAGAAACAGGCTAGCCTGTCATGTTTATGACAGTTTGAGCAATGTTTGTACTCTTTAGTTGACATCTCTAGTCTGTAAACATCAATAATCCCAGAAAGTAGAGCTGCTTTTGTTGGCGATTGAAATTGTGAGAGCATCACAAAAAAAATCATAACTATATTTGCAATCAAGAATAATAACATAACTTCATAAAAAATTTGACTAGTTTTCTCAACTTTTCTCTAAAATTAAGCCTCCATTTCAAATTCCATGTCCCAAAATCAATCTTGATAACACAAACAAACACAAACACAAGCATGTTAAGGATTTTTATTTCAGTAGTCAGAGTTCAAATTGTGACAGTTTTAAGTAAAAAAAAAAATATTTTACTTAATAATAATTATTTTGAGTATCAACATTACATTATTTAGTTATATATTACTCATATCAATTGGAATTCCAAAACAATTAGAACACTTAAACATTGTTTTCAAATCTATCAAGCTTAAGTAAAAAAAATTGAAATATGTTAAAATATTAATACTTTATCCAAAAAGGTTAGATGCATGAATCACTAGACCTTAACCTGTTTTTAATCTTTTAGTGATTAATAATTTGTTGCTCTAATTTCCGCTGTTTTTGGTCCTCTACTTGCATCGACAATGTAAATCACGTACTCCCTTTTTGACTTTAGGCTTTAATTGTTTTTTTTAAATTAGGGAAATGAACACATGGGGATCACCAATACACTATATATATATATATATATATATATATATATATATATATATATATATATTGGTTTCAAAGGGATAGAGCCCTATATCAAGAGGGGAAAAGAGTGGAGAGGGGTTGACCCTAATCCTATGTCTTCTTTAAGTTTTATTTGGCCACTAAGCCAAACAACTGAAAATGATATGTTTATCACTTACATAATGTAAAATCTCGGTATGAAAAATAAATTATTTGCTAAAAAGAGTTGTCTACTTGCTGAGACTTGCAGACACGACTTTGTGCTAGACATGATTTTGAGACTTGAACTTGATTAAAAATATTATTATATTAATAAAAAATATATTTTATTTAATTTTAATTTATAAATATAATTAATAAAATCTAATAAATATAAAATAAATGGTCCAGTTAAACTAGGCAGCTTTGAATCCGAATTGAATTTTTTATATCTCAATTTAATGTAATCCTGACCTATGAACACTTCTAATAAAAATAAATGAAAATATACATTTATATAATATATATAATAATAATATAATCTTCTTTCACATTAAATTAATTTCGTTTGTCTCTTGTATATTAAATTTGTTGTCAATTCAATAAGGTTCATCACTTAATGAAAAATGCAAAATTTGTTTCTGCATTGACTTGTTCAAGTCTTCTAAACAAAATTGGACACTCCAAGTAAGAAGAACCACTAGCCATAGCCAAGTTGATAAGATCATTTAATTTTTCCTTCAATGATACCACCATAGTGGTTGTGCTTGGTGCATGATCTCTATCTGTACTTCAAAAGCAGGGTTAGAATCCCTTTCCTCGAATCAAGAAACAAGGAGAAGAAGATAGAGATGTCATCAAACACTGGTAATTTAGATACAGCTGCTCTCTTGTCGGGGGTCAATAATCACCATGATCAAGAAGAAGGAAGCAGCAGGTGGTGGAAGAATGTTTTGGACTTGGAAGAGGCCAAGAATCAAGCTTTCTTTGCACTGCCCATGATTCTAACTAATGTTTTCTACTATTCCATAACTTTGGTATCTATCATGTTTGCTGGACACCTTGGGGAGCTTGAGCTTGCTGGTGCAACACTTGCTAATTCTTGGGCGACGGTCACTGGCTTTGCTTTCATGGTTAGTTTTCATTTCATCATATTTAAAAATGATTTTATGTGTTTATTTGTTTCTTCAGTTTGTTAAATCTTGCCTTGTTCTTGTTTTAGACAGGACTGAGTGGAGCACTAGAGACACTTTGTGGTCAAGGATTTGGAGCAAAACTTTACAGAATGTTGGGGATATATTTGCAGGCATCCTGCATACTATCTTGCTTTTTCGCTTTTATCATATCGATCTTATGGTTCTTCACAGAGCCAATACTGATCTTCCTTCAACAAGATGCTCAAATTTCAAAATCTGCTGCCATGTACATCAAGTACCTCATTCCAGGTCTATTTGCATATGGATTTGTGCAAAACATTTTGAGATTTCTTCAGACACAAAGCATTGTGATGCCCCTGGTATGGTTTTCAGTCCTTCCATTGGGCATCCATTTAGGCATTGTGTACTCTTTGGTCAATTGGACAGGTCTTGGTTTCAAAGGAGCTGCATTAGCAGCTTCAATTTCACTATGGATTTCTCTTCTGTTTTTATCCGTTTATGTGTTTTTTTCCAAGAAATTTGAGCAAACATGGGAAGGATTATCGTTCGAATCGTTTCGGTTCATTATCACAAACTTAAAATTAGCCCTCCCTTCTGCCGCAATGGTTTGGTGAGTCAATTTTCCAAAATATTGATCTATTTAATTATCTCTTAGTGTTTTCCATTCTGATATCTTGAAACCTTGATATAATTTTTCCTAGTTTGGAGTACTGGGCGTTTGAGCTTCTTGTATTGCTAGCAGGCTTGATGCCTAATTCAGAAGTAACTACTTCATTGATTGCAATGTGGTAAGCTTGGTTGATACAATAGTATTCAAATGATATTTTGGTTATTCTTCTTTGGGAGTAAAATGCACCAATCATCCCGAACTTTTATGCAATATTTTATTTTCAATCACGACTTTTAAAATTCGATTTTCGAATTCAAGATTTTTTTAAAATGTTTCAATTTCATCCTTTCTGTCAACTACCGTTGATAATTTAATGAAATATGCCATGTCATCTACACAGACATTTGCCACTCAGGTGGTAAATTCTGTCAAAATTTAATAGGGTTGATGGAATGGATGGATTTGAAACATTTTAAAAGATAGCATATTTGAAAATTGAGTTTTAAATATTAAGGATGAAAATGAAATACTGTACAAAGATCATGGATGTCTGGTGCAATTTACTCTCTCTTGTTTTAATCATTTTGGCATGGTGGATTTTTGTAGTGTGAATACAGAATCGATTGCCTACATGATTACATATGGCCTTAGTGCTGCAGCAAGGTTAGTTAAATTGTTGAATCTTACCCAATTTCTTTGTTATAGATCTATCAAATTATAAATTTCTGAGAAATGAAAAATGAATTGACAGCACAAGGGTTTCAAATGAGTTAGGAGCTGGGCATCCTACTCGGGCTAAGAATGCCATGGCTGTTACACTCAAGCTTTCCATCCTTCTTGCTCTTGCAGTTGCCCTTGCTTTAGCATTTGGTCATGATATTTGGGCTGGTTTCTTTAGTAACAGCCCTTTGATTATAAAGAAATTTGCTTCAGTGACACCCCTGCTATTAATCTCAATAACAATTGATTCTTTTCAAGGCATCTTATCAGGTTTGAACCAGCAATTTGCAACTATTGAATTTTGTCACTATATTTTTTTATAATTTCATTTTTTTTTTGGATAAAAAGTAACAGAATATGCATATTTCATAATATTTTGGTAATGCAAGTGGTAAACTTCATTGAACTATGTTACTTTTGTCCAAAAAATCAATAAAACTGATAGTGTAGTAACAAAATTCAACAGCATCCATAGTATAGTGACAAATTTAGCCATAATCCCCCATTTTTATGTGTAAATTCATTCTTCAGATTGTTGTTCACATTGCAGGGGTAGCCAGAGGAAGTGGTTGGCAGCACTTGGCTGTGTGGGCAAACTTGGGGACTTTCTATTTCATTGGAATGCCAATTGCAGGCTTTCTTGGATTCAAGTTCAAGCTTTATACAAAGGTGAAGATACATTATCAGTTTTCAAGCAGTTTTGTTCCATAATTATGTTCTTAATCTTCCTCATTTATTCCCTTTTTTTTTGTTTTATTTTTCTTCAGGGTTTGTGGATAGGCTTAATATGTGGTCTCTCCAGCCAAGCTGGTGCACTTCTGTTTATAGCATTGTTTAGAAAATGGACTAAAATTGAGCTATCAAATGAAAATGATAAGGAAAGCAGAGTTTCTGTTTAATTCTTTTTTTACAAAGGAAGGCATAATTTATGAATAAAAAAAAGATTATAAGCGTTAAAATTTAAATTTTAAATTTACTAAATATTAATTTTAAAAATAATTACATAAATTAAACTTAACGTAAACACCCTATTTTGATGTTTTTGGATTTTTGAATCGTCTGACTTTTGAATTTGTTTTGGGCTTTATTTATTTTATTGGGTCACAAATTTGATTTGGATTTATCAACATTAGTTTAGTCTTTTATATTTTTATTTATTTATTTTTCCTTACTCTTTTTATTTTATTTCTTATTCTTTATTTATCTTTTTTCTGTAATTTGGAAATCAAAAGTGAAACCAGAAGTTGGATAAAGATCAAACCCGTTAAGAAATTTGAAATCAAGCCTGGATTGAGATAAACAAATTTTTAAGTGATAAGAATCAAGTAAATTCGGCAGATTGGAGTTCTATTCAAATGAGGACTCATTCCCTTTATCAGGACAGAATGACTGGCAAAAGAGGGGGAACAATGTCGAAAAAAAGCAAGAGCAGTGAGCGAAATGGTTCTCAGCCATATCCAGCAGCGATTTCATCACGCTCTCCCTATAGACTCGAAACCACCATCTCCACAACAGCCATTGACACTACCATTGCCACCATTAGCCAGCCAATTCCCCATACTCCACAAATATTAATCAAATTCAGCCCACAATACACTTAACACCAGCAATTCAGCCGAAACTCTCCCGAACCCATATCCAGCAATTTCATCAGCACAAGCTGCCATCCTGTTGTCATCACCACCTTGCCATTACCAGCACCATTAGTCGGGATTAACTCTCATCAACAAAGCCGTCCTTGATCTTCAGCAATCATACAACACCACTGCATTACTACCTAGCCATCAAACTCATATTTACCCAGCCACAGAAACCCACATTCACCCAGCTTCCTCATCCCATCAAATAACCAAAACCAACAGCCCCGATTCACAACCCAGCACTCACAGAGCACATACACTCACCAATAAAAAGCCCAGAAGTAGCAAAACCGAAAAAACCCAGCTTCAACCAAATCTCAGCAAATAGAAACACAATCGAAAAATCTCACAATCAACCTAAGAAGGAGGCGCTGTTTGAACCCAAAAAGAGGAGAAAAACACCAGAAAAAAGGGTGAGAGGAGTTTTTTGGTGGTGAAAAACAGAGAGGCCAACATGCGATTTCCAGTGGCTTCATTCTAACCTTGAGCAGCAACAGAAGGTAGTGGTGGTCGTGGCTCACGTTGTTGATGACGGCGCACGGCAGCAGCATTGACTGAGGTCAGTGGGAATTCGAAAACCTGGGTTATGGGTCTAGGAATTCCTAAGCTTCTGGAGAGCAGAGAAATAGGAATTTCAGAGAGGAAGAAAATAAAGAAACAGAGGAGAAGACGAATCTGGAAAGATAATTACCTAGCTAATTTCTGGTCACCAGCGACGGTTGCGATCGGCAACATAAGACGAACGGCACGGCGGAAGGCTGACAGAATCTGGGTATTGTATGTTTCCCGGTGCCGATGCTTTAAGGAGTAGAGGACGTTTGAGAACTTTGGCTTTTAGAGAGAAGAAATTGAAAAATGAAGGGCAATGCTTGAAAGGAGCTTTTAGACTTTTCCAAAACGCGGCGTTTTGGGACACGAGAAAAGGAACAAATTTAGCCGTGAAGCTGAGCCGTTATAGCAAGTCACCGAGCTGTTATTTTAGATTGGAGACGAGCCGATTTCTAAACCAAGCCGAGCTGAAAACAAAGTGATGGAAAACTTACTTCTAAATTTTGCGTGAATGATGGCAAATAATTTATATTTGGATAGATATGAGAAGTTTTAGAAATGGTAAAATAAAATAAAATTTGAAAACAAGAATAAAGTGAATTTAATGAAATTTAAAAAAAATTAAGAATAGTTAATTTTTTTATGAGAGTATTTTTAAATATTTTTAAAAAGGTTAAAAATTTAAATTTTTTTAAATAATATGAATAAATTAATTGAAATCAATATGATAATGAATAAGTTTTTTAAATACTTCTAAGATATGAAAAATTTTTAGGATTTTCACAAAATGATAAGAAAAACCTAAAATTTCTTTTAATATGTAAATGTTTAAATTAGGTAAAAGACAAAGACCATTTAATCGAGATTTAAGATGATTTAGAATTAATAGGTATTATATTAAGTTGAGCATTGTGTGAATGTTATAATTTTCTTTTCACATAATTATATTTATGGTTTTTTTTATTTTGTGAACTAAAATATCTTTTTAAAACATTTAAATAAAACTTAAGTTATCTTTTTAAAATAAAATAAATTAAATTAAATTACGACTCTTTAAAATTATATCTAACAATAAATTCTAACACTTTCGATTATGAATTTTTGTTTAGTTACTTCAAGACAAAGTAAACAAAAGATAGATACTACCTAGGTATGGGCAACAAAGCTGGCAATTACATGTGCATTTTTTGTTCGGTCTTCCAAAATTTTAATAAAATTTAACTTGTTTACTCAATGTTATCCGAACATTTTGCTCAATCGCTCATGTGATAGGTGATTGTATTCTTTGGTTCAAAGAGTAAGTTCGAATTCGGATTTTTCAAATAAAAAAGTTTATTTTACTTAGAGAGAGTCGGGATGTCATTTAATTATAAATTAAAAATATATCAAGTGAATAGGCCCAAACTTGACAAAATTTAAGCTAGTCAATAAATTGAAGGTTACAAGACCAAATGATAGATTTAAACTAATTTTTTGGGCTTGCCACTTACGCCTTGATAAAAGAAAAGTAAATCCTTAAGAATCTTTATGTGATATCAAGGTACTTCATTAAAAAGTGATTGATTCAATTCGTTAAGATTGTTTTTCTCGATAAAAAAATTTTAAGTTCGAATTATGTCGATGATTATCTGTTAGAATTATTTCGAATGCACGATCTGTAATCACTTGTCTTAAGTTATCAAATACGACACATATTATCTTAACTTGAGAGATTAAGTAACATATCTACTCCAGATTCAAAAAACTAAAAAAAAAAAAAAAGTACTTCAATATTGTTTTTTTCATAAAAAAATGTAGGGACGTGGTTATTTTTGGGACACTTTGTATATTTGATATGGATTTGTTCCAACAAAATGGCTAAATTCTTTACAAATGGATTGAAATTGAAATAATGACACTGGGAGATTTTTATTTTTTCAAACAAAACAAACATTAATATTTTTTTACAAACAATCGTATAATCTATCAATAAAATATTAAATTTAGTTTCATTAATCAAAATTTAATTCGACCTCATGTATCTAAAAAAAACACTAGCATCGTTACTTGTCTCCAAATGTTGCTCCAACAAGATTTTGTTTAATTAGAAAACAAAAGGAAATCGAAACCACCATATAAACACCCTGAGCAGTCATAAATTAGTCAATCAAATTAAGCAAGCATTTTGCAACATTCTCTTCCCTCCCTCTTGTTTAAGATTTCTAGTTATTTTTAATGGATGTCGGGGCATTCTTTTTTCGCCTGTTCTTTTTCACATTTGGTTGTATTATTGGATACCCTATGAATGATCTCTTAAATCAAAGGTGAATCCTTTGAAATAACCTAATTGAACACTCTTAACATTAGCAACCAAGAAGAATCAATAAGGAATTTGCAAAGCACAAGGTTTTCTCCATGGGTAAAGGCTAAAAATTTATACATCATCAAAGGATTTTTTTTTTCCCCAAATTGAAAGCTAATCTTTTATTTACTTGTAGACTTGGGTTTTGATCTTCAATTTCAATCCTCCAATTCGTTTGTTCTGGACTTATTTGCTGACAAAGATATAATATAGGCTGACAGTATAAAAAGTTGGGATATTTATTGTTTAGTCCCTATGAATTTTTTCTACTTTATTAAAAGGTCCCTCCACTTATAGAAAATCTTAATTGAGTCCTTTCATTAATTTTTTAAGGGTATTACATTGGAGACAAGGAAACAAACTTTTTGACTGCACAAGGGTGTCTAATGGATTGCAAGCTGGAAATTCCAACCGGGCTATGCATGTCATGGTTGTGACTTTGAAGCTATTTTAGTTCTTGCTCTGAGAGTACAATGATTATGAAATTTCAGCTGCTGAATTACAACATGGTAACTCTCTTAAAACCAAGAGTTGTCCGATTAACCAAATACTATACAATCTCAAAATGAATGCCGAACAGGAGCCCTGAGAACAAGAGCAAGGGCAAGACAACGCTTTGTCTTTGATGATGCCTCAAAATATTTTTCATAAAGCCATATGCAAATAATCCTGGAATGAGATGCCTCATGCAAAGGGCAGCCGTTTTAGAAATTCGATAATTTTGAAGAAGCAAAACGAGTTTCCGCTTTGCGTTGAACAATATATAATATAATATAATATATATATATATATATAGGTAAGACAAAGCACATAAACCTCGGACAAGCAGACCCCACCCCCACCCACTAGATTGGCACTTTTTAATCATATTGACATGAAAGTTGCTTGCATTATTAATTGAGAAATCAATTCTCTTTTTACTAAAACAAAAAGTTAGCCCAATTGGTGGCCACAGTTTTTCTTATCCGATAACCACACATCACACTATCAAAGTCCTGTTACACCCATGAAACTTCCTCTTACATTAAAGAAAACAGATGCCATTGAAATTGTTTTTGTCCCAAGCCACCAAAAAAACCCCAAATGACTTATATTATTTATCCATCTATTTATCTATTTATATCTATATATAAAAGTATAAACTCTAAAATTATTAATAATATTCAACCAAAATACCCTTATAAAATTTTAAATTAACAAATTTATTCTTAAATATGTATAAGTTTTATTAATTTATTTAAATTTAATTTAAAACAATTAAAATTAAAAATAGAATTTATGTGAAATTAAACTACTTAAAAATTTTAATTTTTAATTTTAAAAGTGTTAAAAGTGATTACCTAAAATATCCTTGATAATTGTTTTTATAAAATTTAATTTCAATGAATTTTTATTTATTATTAGATTTTTTTTATAA